ACAAAAAAAAAGTATATGTCTATACATATCAAATTATTTTTTATTATATTCTTTAAAGTTGTATTTTTTATTTTTATAATATTATATTAAAAAATAATAAAGATGATCACCGTCAATGTTAGGTCAATAGCTAAAACTTATTTTGCATGAAATTTAAGATGATTTTAATTAACTTATTATTTCAAAATATTATTTTCACATATCAATAATAAAATATTTAATAATAATATATATAAGTCTTAAAAAATAAAAAGGAAGACTAACAATTGGGATGTATGATGAAGCAAAAATAGTTGTTGCATTTATAGTAAGTTGTAGGAACTTTATGTGAAGCAATGTTTCGATAAAGATGATACATTATCATTATTCTTAAGAAAACAGCATACGATATAGAAATAAAACATTAACAATAAAATTAACCCGTTATGCCTTCAGAAATTATAGTTGTATAATTATGGACCAATTAAATAAACTAATGAAGGCAAAAACTTTATGCTCATGTGTTTAAGTGGACTCTTCAAGATTTTCAAAAAATAAAACAAACTATACTAACTAAAAATAAACAAATACTAAATACTAACGTGAAACGACCTAATGACTAATATATGATCGAAAATTCATTCAAACAATAAACGATATATATGCGTTTTTTTTTTATCCATGAGTAGTCTATTTGAAATGATGTCATATCTCTTTGTTTGTACGTTATCATTTGTGGATTTTTTTTCTTTATACAATATCAGTTCTGAAATATTAATCTATTATTTATCTATAAAATACAGTCAAATTTCATGTCATTTTCGAATTCTATAATGTCTTTTTTTTTATTCATAGCTTTCATATTCATGGTTTATTTTTAGGAATGAGGTACTCAATGCAAATAAATTAATGATCACTCGTAATTTCTTAGAATTACATAAAGATATAAAATAATATAATATTAGATTAATAAGAAATGGTTACATATTTTCTTAAAGTGTATGTAAATTCCATCAATATAAAGTATGTGTTTCAAATGTGGTATGGTGCTACTACTAAATATTTTTATGAAAACATATGAACATGTATATGTTAAAATAAACAATAATGAATTTAAATTGACATATCAAATCTAAAAATTTATCTATATATATGCATATAGATGCAAAATTAAAACCTATAAAAATATTTATTTATTATGTTACATATAGATATCATATTAGTTATGTTTTTTTCTATTTTACCTTGAAATATACTCAATATAACCGAAAACATAATATTGTGTTTGATGTTCCAATAAAAATAATAAATGATTTTAAATAAAATATTTGACTTTAAATTTTATTTTAGCGATTAATTAAATAAGATTGATAATTTATTATTACAAAAAATTTAATATATAAGGAAAAGAACTCATACTCACAAACGGGGAGAGAGACAATTAATAAGTGAGATATTCGAATGAGAATTCATGATAAATAATTACGTATAATATTAAATATTATTTGTAACAAATAATTGATTATGAAAAAAATATATAATGGGAATTTGTATAATAATTGATTATGACTAAAATAAGTATTTATTTGTAACAAATATTTATGATATTGTTTGAATGATAAATAATACATAGAAATTAACAAAATTTATTTCATGGTAATATGTGTAGTTGAAGCATTTATTTAGTCAAGAAAAATTGGAGTGCAAATTCCAATACAATTATAATACAAATTAATGTTTATATGTAATTAATATTTTTTGTTGATAAATCATGCATAGAAGTTGATAAAATTTATTACAATGTATTAAATGTAGTTTTGGAGGGAAATTTTCAACTCCTTAGCTCTAATATATATATATATATATATATATATATATATATATATAG